GCTTTGTGGGAATGTACACACACACGAACACGTACACACATGCGCGTATACACACACACACACACAAGTATGCACACACACACATGCGTGCACACATACACAAGAAAACAGAGAAAGAATTAAAAAAAAAACAGGAGTAGAGAAAGAGAGAGAGAGTATACATATATATACATATATATATATATATATATATATATATACATATATATACATATATATACATATATATACATATATATTACATACATATATATATAAATATATATATATATATATATATATATATATATATATATATATAGAAGGAACGTAGATGACCGCACTGGGCAGTGCACCAAGAACAAGGAACATCTAATGAACGTGGATAAAGGTTTAACTGCGAACTGCAGATTCTGCGGATATTGAGATGAGAGCAAATCCCTTGCAATTTCCGCCTTCGAGATACGCACTCGGATGGAACGCGCGTCGGAGCCTTTGGTCGAACTGATCAATCGCTAACGCTTTTGCAGAAAGTATGCTTGCCAACGCTCTCTCAAATAGTGTATGACCAAAGCGAAAGGAATTATGCAAAATGAGGACAGTGGCACATTGCTTAAGTAAAACCAGACCTATAACGGAGTAGAATATTCATGGCCAATGTAGTGCTGCTCCAGAAGGAAGGAAAATCAATCTAGCTAATACCTGTTGCTTCCCCATTTAACACAAATGTCCATAAGAAATGAAAATGAATAAAAGGGATCATCAGGACTTAAAAACAGAAATCATCTGAATGTGGCAACTGCGGCTGTGATCGTGCGTTCGCCGCAGTGGCAAAGAGATCTGATTGCTTGATTGAGAGAGTTCCTTAAAGCGCTGGGATTTCGTTCCAAATCTCTCCTCCCGGCGCCCGCACCGACATCTCTCCCAGCCTCTCCTCTCCAGGTCTCCCCGTCTGCTCGAGCTGCCACCGACGACGTGTGCCACCTCGTCGGACCCTTCCTACGGGAGCGCCACTGGCCTCTCCTGCGCCCTTTGGCCTCGATGGAAGAGCTTCGGCCGCGTCTCCGACAAGAGGAGGACGCTCAACGGCGGACCTCGTGATCATCGAGCGTCGTCGGCGGGAGGGACCGTCTTCCGGAGGAGTGCTCCCGCCTTGACCGGGACGGAGGCGCCACCCGATGTCGCGGGCGACGTCGCTGGGCTGAGGAACACCACTGAAGGCCGCTCTCTCGGCCGCGAAATTTGCCATCACTACAGGAAATGAAGCTCCATGCTTCGCCACTTTCCTGAATCCAGTTACCCGTATCGAAGGGTCACAATCGCAACTGAGCGGGCGACACGCGAGGCGGGTTCCGCTCCAAGGTTGGCCGAGAACGGATTTCGGAAGGCGGGGAGGGAACAGGCGGAGATTCGTCCAAGCAGAGCAAAGGTAAACCACGAGAAAACTACCATACAGTGAAGATAATAATAATAACAATGATAATATCAATAACAGTAACGCCAAAGGAAATTATGATAATAGTCAACATGTATAACATGATAACAATAATGATAACTGATATTAATATCATTCTTCCTATCATTGTCATTGTTATTATCATCATTATTATCTACATTATCCTTATATCTACATCATTATTATTATTTTCGTTAATATCATTACTATTATTATTGCTATTGTTATTATCACTGTTATTATTATCATTATCATTATTGTTATTATCCCTATTCTTATCATCATCATTATTATTATTATTATTACTGCTATTATTATTATCATTATTATTGTTACTATTATTGATATTGCTGCTGTTTCATTCTTATCATGATCATTATCATTATTATCCTAATATTAACATCACATTATTATCCTTATATTATTATTATCATTATTTTTATCCTTATTACAATAAAAGTAACATTAATGACAATGATAAAACGGGTGATAACAATATCAAATAATGATAATAATAATGGCCATAATAACTACCATAATATCACAGGCCATAAGTGATGAAAGCAGCACCGGGATCCTTCGGAATCAAATGATATCAGAGGCACCCCCCCCCCCCACTCACGGGTGGTGTCGTTGAGCTGCTTCCTGGCGAAGGAGCCGACCTCCTCCAGCGGCTTCCCGTTGGCCTCCCAGAGCAGCCTCTCGCTCGTCAGCATCTTGTTGCCGTAGCAGGCGAGGGTGACGTTGTCCCCCTCGAGGATGGCTAGTCCCTGGCCGCTCCTCAGGACGCCGTTCACGCGCGCCTCCACGTACAGGGTCTCGTTCTCGGCCGCGTCTGCAACCAGGAGAAGCACGTCACCGAGGGTCAATTTGGCTGGAAACAGAGCCAAAAGAGCGGCTCGGCTGAGCAGCCGTCAGGTTTGAAGGGAACTAGAGACAGAAACGTTGTCCGGGACAGCTTTGGCTGAGGACTAGAAGGAACCGCTGCTGGGGACGTGCCTAAAGTGACGCCTTTCCCTCAAAAGAACTGGCGGCAACGATTTCGTGCTGAGGTGAAAGCGGAAT